TTTTCTTCCTTTTTTTCCCCTTTTTGATGGAGGTTTTAAGATGGACTCCACAGGTTAGCTCCTCTCTGTAGCACTTACTGTTTTCTGCAAGATTTTTTTGGTCCAATTTCTTTATGTCATTTTCTTATCACAGACCCATAATTTTGTTTTTTTGATATTTTTTATTGGAAAATAACATCTGGGTAACATTCACTACATACAGGACACATTGGTCATAAAGGCACCTAAGAAATCTCCATTGATATTGAGAATGGTGGTCTTACTTTTTGCTGTGGTCTGTGGAGTGTATATTTTCTCTATTTGTTTAAAGCAAACAACTAATTCCACAAAAAATACTAAGTTTCTAGAGATTCAAGTGATTGACCAGCCTTGTCACGCTTCTGAGATAGAACAATGGGAAATTCCTTGTGTGCATTTCCCAAAACCCAAAACCTTTAGCAGGTAACTGAAAAAATTAAAAAAAAAAAAAAACAATTATTGGGTTTGGTTCAATTTGGAGCAATTAAAATAGATGTGAGTGATGGATTTGCAGGGAGGAATGCGTCTGCAATCCGGTTCGGAATTTCGCCATCTTGTCGATGCAGAGATCTGGGAGTGGATGGTTTGAGACTTCGTTAAATAGTCATATAAACATTAGCTCGAATGGTGAAATATTTCTGTCAAAGAAAGGAGAAGCAATGTTTCTGTGATGCAAAGCACAGTGGATAAAGTTTACAACCTCGATTGGTCCACTAGTGCTTCCAAGAACGAGTGCTCAGGGGCAGTTGGGCTGAAATGGATGCTCAATCAGGTGAGTAGAGTAGCATGGTAGAATCTAGTTTATCTAGTGGATGCTGTATACATAAATCTGATACCTGAGAGACCTACAGTACAAAAAATGAGGTAATGAAAACAATCAACAACTTGCACCTTGTTGGTGACGATAGAAGATGGTGGTGACGCAACAGCAACACACCATTCAAGTTTTAAAACATCGAATACCAAAGTCTTTGCATATCCTGAAGAGGAAATATATATAAAAAAGGTTAAGAAGTNATATATTTTCCCAAGTAGAAAAGATAGTAGTTAATTAAAAGTTCAAATTGCAAAATTAGTAAATTGCTGTCTATCTCATATTTATGGTAAAGGCGACTGTGCAGTGATTCTTAAATTCTGCAAACTTTTCTTTGGGTAAATAAACAGAACGATGTATTGAAGAAATGCAAATGTACAAAGCAACATACAACCCCAAAGGCAATAGATCAAACAAAGAAACATGTAGAAGATTGCAACATCCTGCAGTCGGTCCATCAAAAGCAGGCAGAGGAAGTCCGGGGGGGATGCATTTTGCACTCCCCACAGACTACACAGCCTGTAAACTACAAACTGAAATTACATTATGTGCAAAAACAAGAGCCTGGAAGTTGCCAAGGAGAAGCAGTCTCTCTATGAAGAGGGGTGTCCTTGACTTTGGTTGAGAGAAGCCTACTTCTCACCATATTCAACACCGTCATCTGGTAGTACCTGGATCTTTATACTCATTGGTGAAAATTCTATGATTTCTTTCACCCCATAAAACATAAACTGTGACAACAAGACATAGTTTCCTAATGAAATTCTGCAGATCCTTGCCTTTCCATTGGGTGGACATAGCCTCAATGAGACTCCGCCAAGAAGAAGAACGCCATGGCCAATCACACTTACTGATGAGATTCTTCCAAACTCTCTCAGAGTATGAGCATTCATAGAATAGATGGAAGTGAGATTCTTGATTAGCTCTACAAAGCACATAAGTCGTTCCATTGTTGGGTGTAAAACTATGAATTCTGTCCTTTGTGATCAGTCTAATCCTTATAGCAAGTCAAAGGATAAAGCTGGTCCTAGGAATGCAAAGATTGAACCAAATAAGAAAGTACCACAACATCTCAGGTTTTGTGGTCCTGATTTGATTCCAAGCTAAAGAAGTAGAGAATTTGCCATTTACATGGTGAAGGCATTTGATCTCATCCTTTGTCTCAATTGTTGGGGAGTAATTGGGCGCAGTAGAGATGATCTCGTCAATAATTCTAGAGTTTCTAGGATTTACACTGGTTATCTTGGATAATGGAGTCAACTTTGGCATTCTTAGGGATCCCAGTATCATAAATCAGTCTAGGACCCCAATTAAGAAGGAGAGGTCTGTTAGGATGCCAAACAAAAATCATGCTAGAGAGATGTATTCCTACCATTTCCAATAACATAAAGAGTGAAAGGTCTTGCTAATTCCCTGACTTGCAGCAGCTTCCTCCAGTTCCCTGAATAGGCCTATGATGGTTTGGCTTCCCAAATGCTCTTGCCCCTAAGATGGTGATCCTTGATCCAACTGGTTCAAGTGTTATTCTCATCAGAATTAAGTGTTATTCTCTTCAAACTTGGAAGAAACAATCCATTAAGTTGAAAGGTTGATGATGATATAGTTGTGGATAAATCCAACTCATCTAAATTTCTTTCTATTTGGAAATTTTACTACTTCCTTAATGAGATAGATGTGAAAAATTAAAAACCGATAATTTTATGACACTATGATTAATGCGTGAAAAGGGTATAAAAATGTGTATCTAAAAAAAAAAGGATATAGACCTGTGAATTTTATTAGTAAGTTTATTTATTGAAAGATTATTGTTGCGGTGACCGTGTAGTGACTCATTATAGATAATCCTATAAATAAACCTCATCTACGATATATTGGTAATTAGAATTTGTCTCTTATTCTTGGATTGACCAGTAAGGTTTGGAAACGATGAGGATTCAGAAATATCCACATATAATAGCCTATACCCTGGGACTATAAAGATAAGTAGTGGGGGACAAGCTCTACAAACCACAAAGGTTCCTCACCATTCTCAGTAATAAATAATAGTAGTAGTAACATAGGATTCATTAGATCAGGTGGTGGCTTACCACCACCGCAACCGTTGTCGCCGCCACCCTACCACCATCACTGTCACCGCCACCACCACCATTGCCACCACCCCCACCACCATTGCTGCCGTCACCACAGCCATCGCCGCCACCACCATCACCACCGCCGCCACAGCCACCACTGCCACAACCACCACCACCGCCACCGCCACCCCCCACCACCGTTATTACCACTGTCGTCTCTACCATCGCCGCCCCCACCACCACTATTGCCACCGCCGCCACCACCATCGCCGTCATGGCCGTCGCCATCACCGCCACCGCCACCGCCATCACCACCACAATCATTGCCACCCACGANGGGCTTGTCCCCAGAAGTTGACAGCAGCATCCAGTTCTCAGAGTGCCCTGAAGTGCAGTTGCTAAGCTCAGGTGCCGTTGATGAACACTGGAAGCTGGCACAAAATTTCTATTTGCGGAGTGGCACCCCCGAAACCTATGCTTGCATAACCAAGAACAGGAAAAGACGGAATTTTTTTCAAAATTGCAAAAACCATAGTGTTGGTGCTAACCATATATTTTCCCAAGTAGAAAAGATAATAGTTAATTAAAAGTTCAAATTGCAAAATTAGTAAATTGCTGTCTATCTCATATTTATGGTAAAGGTGACTGTGCAGTGATTCTTAAATTTTTCAAACTTTTTNACTAGATAACTCTACACATGCATATGTAGTAGACTTGGATGTGATTGGTTAACGTCAATTATGCAAGTGTAATGTACATCACACAAGTATCCATGCGAAACAAATTCTAACACTCTTTACACGCGCGACTACCACTCGCATGTGAAAGATAAATTATTTATCTAACGTATGTGATTTTTTTTTTTCGAAAAAGATTNTATGTGAAAGATAAATTATTTATCTAACGTACGTGATTTTTTTTTCGAAAAAGATCGATGGGGCTCCTACTTGTTCTGCCAACTACCAAGCTATTAATGAAAGTGGGTCAACCCAATCTCTCACTAAAACATCAATAGGCAGTGAACAGAAAGATACTCCACCTAACCCACCTTCTTTGCGAATGAAGTCATTGCAAACAAGACTCCATTCGCGACTTCAACCACATTTGATGTTGAGATAGAGGACCACCGCAGCATCCAAGCAAGCATATGAGTGTTCCACAAACTAAGCCCACACCTACAAAGCCATGGAGCCAAGTATTAAAGCAGAATGCTATGGAAAAATCCAGCTCTCTACAACAACACCCTTTTGAGGTAATGAACTTTCAATACTTTAAACCCAAAAGAGAGAAGAATAGAATCATTGTCCATCCCCCCCCCATGTAAGTTGTCTCTAAGGGCTGTCATGAGTGGAGAAACTGCCTCGTTGGTTACTTCATAGAGAAAAAACTCCCCTTTACATCTATTAGCTTTATTGCTCACAAGATTTGAGGCAATATGGGTCTCCTTGAGGTTTATGCAAATGAAAAGGGGTTCTATTTTTTTAAGTTCATGAATGATGAGTCTAGAACCAAAGTATGTGAAGCTGGCCCTTGGCTTTTTTCTGATAGGCCACTTATCATCAAAAAGTGGCATCCTAATCTTTGCCTAACCAAAGAGAACCACTCTGTAATTCCATTATGGATTAAGTTGCATAACATCCCCCTCCAATTTTGGAGTGATGAAGGACTAGCTACCTTGCTAGTGTAGTGGGTAAACCGCTTTATGTTGACACTCTTACAACAAATAAGAGGAGATTAAGTTACACAAGATTATGTGTGGAGGTGAATGCTGTTGAAAAATTGGTTGAAAGTTTTGACCTCCTCATGGACATCCATGGGAAAATTGAAACCATAGAGATCAAGGTGGAGTACCAATGGAGACCTAAAATTTGTCATAATTGTTGCATTTTTGGTCACAACGAGTCAACTTGTCCCAAACAAAGAACTGTGGAAAGCTGGAAGCCCAAACCAGCTCCTTTATAGGCCAACTCAGTTAGGCTAGATAAGGGAAAGACAATTGCAACTATGATTGGGTTAGAGCAGCAAGAGGCTGGTCAGACTCAAGCAGAAGAACTGATAGGAGGCTACCAAGCTTCTCGGTCACGGTCAAGAATAATATGGGAATGGTTATCCAAGGTGGCGCCTCTAACTCTTCTCAACAAGATATTTTGGGTTATGATCACCATATCACTAAGACAACAGTCAATGAGAGTACCCCTCCTCAACTGCTCATGCAAGCTGGTGTTACTTTGACATCTAACAAATTTGAAGAGCTCAACAAGGAGGGGGCAAATTGTGGTTGATTTAAGAGCGGAGATTGAGCCTGAAGCAAACGTACCAAATGAAACAATCGAGGATGTCCGTAAGGAGGAGGAACCAATTAGTGCTAAGCTTCAACAAATGCCAAACAAGAAGAAGAAATACTCAAAGTCCAAGGTAGCTGAGCACCACTTGCTCAGAAAAATCCAACCCCCTCAATGAATTGTGCATGTTGGAACATTAGAGGTCTTAATGAGACTTCTAAACATAGGGTGGTTAGAAAAATTATTTTTGAACAGAAACTTGATATATTGGGGCTAATTGAAACAAAGGTGAAACCTGTAAATAAAAATAGAATCATACAGGAGGTCTTTAGAGATTGGAATTGTCTAGCAAACTATGATAGTCATAATTTTGGAAGGATATGGATTGGGTGGAATCCAAATAATGTGGAGCTTAGTAAGTTCTTTGAGTCTGATCAAGTTGTTCATTGCAAGATCAAGCATCTTGAGAGTAGGGTACAATTCACAGCATCTTTTGTCAATGGCTTTAATGATGATAGAGAAAGAAGACCATTATGGAGCAATCTTATCTACCATGCTAGTATCTTCTCAAATGAACCTTGGGTGGTTTTAGGTGATTTTAATGCTATTAGGAGCTTACAGGAAAATGAAGGGGGATAGAACAGATGGAACTCTGGAATGGAAGAATTTGATAAATGCTTACAGGATTCCGAGCTTATCGATCTCAGGTACTCAGATATTCAATTTACATGATGTAATAAGAGGGGTGATCATGGATTTGTGGCTCGTAAGCTGGATAGAGTCCTGGTGAATGAAAAGTGGAGCCTCACCTTTCAACAGGCTATGACAGATATTTTACCTCTTGGTATTTCTGACCATAGTCCTGTTGTTGTGCATTTAGGACTTCAAGTGGAAAGAAGATATAACCCTTTCAAATTTTTTAACTTTCTTGCTGAGAGAGAGGATTTTTTAGACTTGGTGAATCAGATTTGGTCACAACCTATTCAAGGGACGTGTCAGTATCGTATTTGCTACAAATTCAAACTTCTCAAGACAATGTTTAAAGTGATAACCAACAATATTGGGGAAGTTACAGTTAGAGCCAAAGAAGCTTTGGAGAGATGTCAAAGAATGCTGGATGGTAACCCAAGTGACATTGCCATGAATAAAGAGGAACAACAACTCCTTGCAAAGTACATTCAAGTTGCTAAGATTGAGGAGGAATTTTACAAACAGAAATCTAAGGTCCAATGGCTCAGCGAAGGGGACAAGAATACATCTTTTTTCCACAAGACTATGGCTAATAGAAGGAACAAGAAAAAGATTTTGGCTCTTACGAGAGCTGATGGCACGAGGGTTGAGGGGGAACAAGCTATGAAAGGTGAGGCTTTGGATTATTTTCAAAAGCTCTTGGGACAGCCCTCCTATTCAAATGAGAGCAGGGATTTGTTGCAACCGATTATCCAAAACAGAGTTACCGATCAACAAGCCGCTGAAATGGAAAGGGAAGTCACTGAGGAGGAAATCAAGAAAGTTTTTTTCTCCTTCAATGATCACAAAAAGCCCCAGGTACTGATGGTTTCAATGTTGTGTTTTTTAAAAGGGCTTGGCATATCATAGAGAAGGACATTGTTGCTGCTGCGAAGGAATTTTTCTCAACAGGAAGGTTATTGAAGGAGGTAAATAGTACCATCATTGAGTTAGTTCCCAATCCTACTACTATGGGGGACTACATACCTATATCTTGTTGCAATGTCATGTATAAAGCTATATCCAAGATTATTGTCAGTAGGATTAAATGTTCTCTTCCCAGTCTTATAAACCCAAACCAGGCAGCCTTTGTCAATGGAAGAAAGATTGGTGACAATATTCTACTCACTCAAGAGTTAATGAGGCATTACCATAAAAATAAAAGGTCCCTTAGATGTGCGCTAAAGGTGGATTTGAGGAAAGCTTATGACACACTTGACTGGGCTTTTCTGTTTGAAGCATTGGAGGCTCTTAATTTCCCTTACACCATGAGGAGATGAATTCAAGCATGTGTTACCTCTGCTAAATTCTCAGTGAATATCAATGGTGGGCTGGTTGGATACTTCTCTAGTATGAGGGGTTTAAGGCAGAGTGACCCTATGTCCCCTTACTTTTTTGTCATTGCAATGAAGTGTTTATCTCTTCTTATCCAGTTCAACATTAGTTCAAATCCAAGTTTCAGATTCCATTGAAGGTGTAAAACTCTCAAAATTGCCCAACTTTCATTTGCTGATGACTTGATGTTGTTTTGCTATGATGACATCAACTCTGCCTCAGTGATCAAGAATACCTTGGACCAGTTTAGTGTGGCTTCAGGGCTCCAGGTTAATGCAGGAGAGAGTAATATTTTCTTTGTGTGCAATAAATGAAGATACTGCTTGTCATATCAAGAATTTGTTTGCTGTTGAGGAGGGGAATTTGCCTATCAAATACTTAGGTGTTCCACTCATTTCGTCTGGTTTGAAGCATCAACACTGCTCCAGTCTTATTAAAAAGGTGGAATCAAGAGTTAAGTCGTGGGTCAATCGATCACTTTCATATGCTGGTAGAGTTTAGCTGGTCATTTCTATTCTATGCAGCTTGCACATATTCTGGGTCTCTCATTTGAGTCTTCCACAGAAGGTTATTCATAGAATTGAACAGACCTTGAGATCTTTTATTTGGAAAGGTATTGATCTTAATCATACGAGAGCAAAGGTCTCCTGAAAAGAGGTATGTAAACCTAAAGAGGAAGGAGGGCTTGGTATCAAAAGGTTGAGGGATTGGAATAGAACACTACTTATGAGGCACTTATGACAGCTTTTTAATGACAAGGAGAATTTATGGTGTCAGTGGATTCATGCCTATTACATCAAGGGGAGAATCCTTTGGGACCTCAAAGCCACCCAAACATACTCTTGGAATTGAAAAAATTTGCTTAAACTTAGATAATTGCTCAAGCCTTGCATTATCCACAGGGTAGGTAATGGGAATGCTATCAGCCTGTGGCTGGATAACTGGCATCCCCTTGGTCCACTCCTTCAAAGAAGCGACCCAAGGACCTTGCTAGAATCTAGAATTTCAAGAAACGCAAAGGTTAACAAAATTATTTTGAACAATCAATGAAATTCTTTGGAATTACGTGATTAGGATATAACGAATGGTACTTATGACAAAGATAAAAGGTGAATCAATAACTATGAGAACCTTACCCGAAAGTCTCATACAGCTTGATACTATGTTAAACTAACTATATTCAAGACAAAATCAATCGTTAAGGAATGAAAAGATTCTCATGTATTGTATCGTACTTCTTTTTTTTTTTAATTATATTGGAATTCGTATTTAGCTTATTTTAAAATTGTTGTGTTCTGTTTGATATGATGAAAAAATAGAATAATAGAAATTTAGAAGGATAAATAAATTATCATGTTTAGTAAAGAATGAAATTTGAAGGATGAAAAAGTTGATGAAAAATTAATTATTTGTATTGAAATGTATTTTATTTGTCTATATATCCTTTGATATATACATATATTATGTATACATTAATTTCATATATAAAAACAATGACAAAATATGTATTTATACCTTTTTAAAAAAAATTAAAATAAAATTTTAAAAATAAAAAATAAAAAAAAAATTAAAATTAAAATTAAAATTTAAAAAATATATATTTTTTCCATCTTATTAAGAACCAAAAAAAAAAAATAATCATTTTTACTTTTCATCTATCCTACCAAACACAAAGGAAAGAAATTGTATCATTTCTACTTATCTTTCTTAAAGGATATAAAGTATATCCTTCTTACTTTCTATTTCTTTTATCAAATGGAGCATTAAAGACGTAACAATTTGTTCTTTCCTTACATTTTTCTACAACAAAGTATCAAATTGAAAGAAATATAAAGTCCAAGAGTTTATTTGAAACCAGGGATGAAGTTTAAGGGCTAACCGTATTTTTACCCTATTTTTATCCAAGTAGAAAAGATATTGTTTATAAGTTTATATTGTAAAATTAGTAAATTGTATTCTATATAATATTTACTGTAAATATGACTGTGCAGTGATTGTTAAATAATTCAAACTGGAAGAAACAATCCATTATGTTGAAAGGTTGATGATGATTTTAATTAATTGTGGATAATTCCGACTCATCTAAATTTCTTTATATTTGCAAATTTTAGTATTTCCTTAATGAGCAATATATAAATAAAGATAATTATATGACAGTATGGTTAACACATGAAAAGTTATAAAACTGTGTATTTTTTTTTTTAAACTTTATATATACGGATGGATTTTACTACTAAGTTTTTTTATTTAGTAATTATTATTGTGGTGACCATATAGTGACTCGTTATACCTGTAAAATAAACCCCTTCTGTGATTTTTTAATAATTGGAAACTTCCATTCTTCTGTTGATGTGCAGAGCTGTTTCCTTCAATGGAGAAAAGTTCAACCCTTTTCCAAGATGAGTCTGTAACAAGTGGAGATTTAATCAAAATGCTTAATTAGCATTAATGGTGGCGGCATTAGAGGGATAATTCATGGAATTATTCTTGCTTTTCTTGATGCTTGAATATAGTCCAAACACGAACCTTGACATTGCTGAATCTGAACCTTTTATCAAATTTGGAATCCCTCAAATACATTTTTTTTCAATATTTCTTGATGGTAAATCACTGCTATGAGTTCTAGTAGGACCCCTTTGTAATTATTGCTTCTGCACTAATAAGCAGATTGTATCACTTGTCATACTTTTGACATCAATGCTATTTGAATTTAATTGTGTGACCTAATTTGTTGACAAATTAGCAATGTGTCCCAATATTGAATTACACCCATTTTCAATTTGACATTTATAATGAACTAAGTTCTTAAATTAAGTATAACTAGTATTTTCCCAGATTTTAGGCTGCCCTCAACTAGCGTAGGTTCTTCGTTACTTCATGATTCATTGGTTCACTGTTAAATTTTACTCGTTTAAACAGTAGTAAATGAAGCCACCTCTATATTATACAATAATAAGCTTTTTGACCATCATAACTAATTGACAGAGGAAGCAAATTCCAACTATACATCAATTGGTATTGAATTTTATATTTATTAAGGTTACATCAATTGGCTGTTGCGAGGTCTGNATAACTAATTGACAGGGGAAGAAAATTCCAACTGTACGATTGTAG